TTCTATAGCACTCAATTACATTGCTAATTGTTTTCATTTATAAGCAGATTTTTTGGGACTATTAGTAGATCATATATATGAGATGTATTCACCCTATGGGTATGAGAAAATCTATCCATCAGTCTCTTTATTATCTTAAACTAAATAAAGTGAACAGATACTAAGAAGACCTCGGTCCACCGTCCGGTGAGCTTAAAGCATTCCTGTTGACCTTTTTATCTCTGCTCTGACGCAAATCTTCATAACCAGAAGCCAAACCCGACGACAAAGCGTACCAATGCAACAGCCAAAAGGAAAATTTGGCCGGTTGTAAACCATCTACCCACTTCTCATAACGAATTTGGCGATCATAACGCGGCATTAAATGATGTTGTTGGTTTATTTATGCTTACTCCTCATGCTTGCAGAAGAGTGAAATTGATGGATGATGCAACCGTTTCCTTACATAAAGTAACTAACATTTGGTCATGTTACTTTAACGCATATTTAAACATGTGGCACGTATGCGATGTTTATGTCCTGACATGTTTGGGATCTAAGCTGACTTAAGAATCTATTAATTAAAAGGACGGCGGTACAAGGGGAACACGTTTCCTAATGGCCTTACCTTATATTCCATATTCATATTAAGTGGGTTTCCATACTATCAGTAAATCTTGAAAAAAACTTAATCAACCCTAGTTCAATTTTACCATAATGGAATGAGTAGACCCCATGCTACCAGTGAAGTTAACCTATTTTTACTTCCAAAAGTAGTTTCTCTTTCACTCTCAGTTCCTACATCACCTTCAGTTAGCTAATGTGGCTCAAGCTCTTATTCAAATTCTAATGATAGTTTTGCAACCTAATTCTATTTCCACATACAGTAATATGATTGATTTTACTTGCAAATACTGGCATTTCCGATCTGCAAAATGCCCAGTAGAAATGGGGATCGGCTTGCCTTGCAGGTCATATTTACTGTTTTTGGCGACAAGTCTTAGGAAAATTAACTGGCTTCTTGAGATCCACTCATTGGTGCTTACAATACCTCAGGCTGCTTAGGCTGACTAAACTTCGTATTGGAATTCTAGCATGTTTACTAGATGCCTAGGAGAAAACAGCCTCCCCAATTTTTGTATCATTTGGTCGAGGTATGGTAATGCTGCCATTGATTTGCATTTGAGAGGATGAAGTATTGAGCTCTTTTCACAATGATCATTCCGATAAATTGCCTCGTAGATCACTCGATTGCGCTCTATAGCAGGTTAATGGTCGTCATTATGGATGGTTAAGGACTTCACATGTAATGGTGTCTTGTTTGTTCGGTTTTTACACTTTATTGTTTTTGATGTTAAGATAATTTTTGACTAAAATAAGCATTTCAGTCGGCCTAGCTCGCTAAAGAAAATGTATGTTCTGGTGGTGCAGTTCTTCCGCAACAATATGAGTAGGCTTCTTAATGTCATTAAGGCACAAGTCGCACAAGTCGCAGTAACATCATTGGGCGTCAATTCGGGGCAGTGCTTATTTGTGGTGACACCACCACTCCATTTCACAGCCACCGATGCCGGTGGTACACGGGGCATATACAAAAATGTATTAGCCATTACAATAAACGACGTTATTTATAGTCGGTATGCGTATGTTCTGACACATACAGTAAAACTAGTTCCTATTCAAGAATAACTGTTAGCTTCGAAACACTTTCATACTGAAAATCCGTTTAAACGGTCTCCTACTCAGAGTTATAGTGAAGCAACCATTTAGCGTGAAGTTTAGTAGCCGATTGTGACAGACAAATCGTTGAGTCTGCGAAATAGAAGAAATACACGAAATATAGAGACTATGGTTGTTTTATATGCTTGAGGTGAAATAGTGGATAAGCAAGATTCAAAATATGTTGGCTTATTTCAGTCTGGTAGACAGATTTCCATTTTAACTTTGACATGGTAGCAATTAACCAGAATTTGTTTCTCTTTCTTCAAGGCACACATAGATTCCGTAATCCGTTCTTTATGAAGGCAATCAAATTAAATTCTCTAGCGGATGTCGTCCATCTTGTATATCCGCATTTCATAGTGACACAGAATAGGCAATAAAAGTGATATCGCAACTATCAGAGAAGTTGGTTTTAGTGCAGATAGGAGATTGTTATTTGATTATTGTTATAAACACAGCAAAATAAGAGTGAAGGCTTGATCTTGTCCTGCAAGTAAACTATCTTGTCGATGAGTACATAAAAGTAGACTTACTGCAGTTTTAACATCGCTTCGGCCAAGTCGTCAAGTGCAACAGGGCTCGAATCCATGCATGACAATGACACACACTACTCATAAATAGCCGCCCATCCACAAGCCAATTGTCGCATACAGAGTTAGACGCTCATTGATTCAAATCAAGATGTCGTATTAAGATCAAATTATTATTTTGAGTAACGTAAAATTGCCATTTTGCATTCCTTTATTGTTAAGCTACGATTATTTTATGCAAACTTCTGTATTGCGGAGAAGATATGTGAATTTTCAGTATGAATTTTGAACGGACAGTAAATGGTGTCCAAAGCCCAGCGAATATTTTGGCCTAGGTCTATTGTCATTCTTCAAATTGGATTATATTTCCATCTAAATTTAGCGGCCTGTCAGTACGCTTCTTG